TATGCTGCAATTTCAGGCAAAAATAAAATCTTATGAAGGCCTCAATCAAAAATTCACACCTGCCATTGTGTAAACTAAAGATACAGCTACATGTCACAACAAAAATGACAGTCCTAGCTGCTCTGTAGGCAGATATATCTTTTAGACGAGTTTTCAGCTTCAGCAAAGTTTGAATCCTGAGAAATCATGCAAAAACACAAGTCCATTTTGGGCATACAGTAGCATGGAAAAGCTGTTTATTTACAATGATTTGCAAATTTAGCTTTCTCAGTAGGCACCAGGCATGTAGTCCTTCTGTTTTGCGTCACCTAAATGGCGCTTTTTTAATGCCTGCTGGATGTTTTCCTCAGAGGCACACTTGTGAGTTGATGCGATCGCGGGGTGCTCGTCTGCCGACAAGGCCGCTTATCAGTTCAGTGACGCCTTTGTGCGACGAATGTGCGCATGTAATCCGCTATCCGTCGTATAATAAAGCGGTTTTCTGGCTCGTTCAGATTGAGTTGTAGATGTTGCAGACCGAACTCGTGCTCTCTATTCAATTTCAAGGCTCCAAGAGCAGTGAGGTGTTAGTTTCCTTTTCACGTAAGATTGCCACATTTTCGATTGGAGGCCGCGGCGCAGTATGTTCATCATTGCGGACGCGTCGTTACAAGCACTCTACCTGTTGCTAGTAGGCTTCATTGCGCGGGTAGCGAGCACGTTCACCGTAAACGTAAACGGATTGAATTTCTGTTGTTTGCCGACGCGCGGCGAACTCCACTCTGATGACCCGTTACGCAGTTCACGTCAGACGGGGGGAACCCGCAGCATCGGCTCGTTTAGCGATAAGACTGCGCTCCCGTTCCATCGTTGCAAAGATTGCTATCTCTCGTAGCTTCACTTCTGCTTTTTTTATTTGCCGCCCTGTAACTGTTGAATCTCCAAAACACTGATGCTTTCAGCGATGTTGTCGACACCCGACGGGCTCGTATGCGAGTTAAGCCTACACCGGTGACTCGGGGACCGCCGTTGAACGCCGGGAGTTGCTATCCCGGTATCCAATATCCTCCCGGACAGGGAGGATATTGCTATCCTCTCTGTCCTGAGTGATAGCGGGGCTCTTTCTGAAGTTCGAAGCGAAAAAACGATCGCCGCACCCGCTTCACAAATTAGTGGGGCGAGGGACTTTTTACTGCTGCAGGCAGTCGACAGCACCAGGACAAAATGGCGCATGTCTGTGCGCGTCACGATGAAAAAGCAGACGCCGGAAACGCCACTTGGCCAGTCGGGTGCCTAGGTTTTCACGTGCCCCAAGCAGCCAATAGAACAGCGTGGTGGTGCTTATCGATTACGCGCTTTTGCCAAAAAACCATTGAGCATGGCCAATGCCTTCTAGATTTCCCGTGCCTGCCGGAAGAGCGCGAAACACCGGTCATCTATGGCGGCGCTGCCTACGTAGGGGTAATAAGGTCCCTGAAAAATAAACTAAAGTAGCGCCAACCGCACCCTTTCGCCTCTACCTCCTCTCCCAGCAGCCACAGCAGCGTCTCTAGAGTGTCCACGAGGAAACTACGAATGCGAAAGCACGCGCCTCAATCGCCTCAATCGCCGCCTCAATCGAAAATGCAGCCGCCGCGGTCGCCATGGATCAAGCCAGAGACTCAACGTTTACACGGCACTAAACGCGGCACGCGTTTCAACTGGCATGCACGTTTACCATCGACGTGGTTACTCTCTTTGTGTGATGCTCGAGCTTGACAGTACCACAACACTGTAAACACGAATACAAGCGAAACGATAGAGTTTAGCTCGCTGGTACTCACCTCACAAAGCCGCTACGATACAGGGTCCAAGTCAGTCCTTCCAATACGCTGGAGCCACACTTCTTGCCGAGCGGCATTGTCTTTTCCTCGCGGAAGCGAAAATAGCTTCTTTCCTCTGCTGTACCTGCTTTTGCAACCGCTGGCACAACAGGTCGGCATCCCGAAACGTGGAGGATTACCGTGCACCCACTCACGCGCGGTCGAACTCCGGCTACACAACAATACCAAGCGCGCACGCCTAGCCACAAACACCGCGAAAGTGGACAAACAAAATGGCGTTTGCGATACTTTCACAAAGGCTAGTGCGTCATGCTGCAGATTCTTAGCACCGCCGAGTTTATTACACGGACAGCAGTGGCGCTGCCATCGAGAGCGTCACCGCTGAGCGCGTCTGCATGCAAACGGTGGGCTATCGCGTTGAGTATTGCGTGCTTGCGGTGATGTCTTTTGCCACTGCATGCCACTTGCTTATATACACGTCATATCGTCGTATTTAACGTTACTTTTTATATTTTTTTTCTTTCTCAATCACTCTTTCGGTGCATCGCCTAGAACCGCAGTGCCCAGATGCGCTTTAACGGAAACATGAGCACAAGTTCATCTTTGCGGCCAGGAGCCATACAGCCCCTCAACTAGCGTCGTTTACTATCTGCAATGCACGCGAGGGGAAAGGAGTCTGCACATTGACACGAATGGCGCTACTTTAGTTTATTTTTCAGGGACTTTAAGGGGTAAGGGTCTTTGTACTTGGTCTTTGGGATCGGCAATTTCAGAGTTTGTTACTATTTTCAAAGGATGCCTTGTATTAAAAAAAGTTGCTTGCTGAATGATGGCGTCACTTACGTAGGGTTAATTAGAACTACGCTTACGCCTTTTTAAAACTTGTTTACGTTATTTTTGTAGCATTTAAGCTCCAAAAACGTAAAAACCTATTTGAAGACACCCCTATTTGAGTGGCGCCACCACCGTAGTTCCGACGACCGCCGCTTTCCAAGTGACCGCCGATAATCCGGCAGGCACAAGAAATATAGGGAGGCATTCGCAAAGCGAGCTACTGGTGGCAGGAAATTGAAGATGAAGAACGACCCTTCCAAACGAGACCAAGATGACTATGATAGCTCCTGTGTAACGGCAACGGTTCGGCGTGGAAAAAGCGCGACTTTAGCATCTACTTGTGCTCAGATTCATCTCGAAGGGGTGTTATAAATTGATTTTGTGCCAGAAATAATGCCGTGAGAAGCTTGAAACTTCTCAGATAAGTGCAGAAATAGTTGCAGATTCCGAAAATGTCAATTTCAAAAAGTCACTTTTTTTCGCGATTTTCAGCCTTTTAAGACCCGTGTCCCCCCTTATGTGCATTTCTTTAAACTTGGAGTGATCAATGCATGTCTGTCTCACAAAGCCACGCATCTGCTTTGAATTACAGTTAAAGTAACTTCATCTACTTGGAAATGCAATAAAGTAGCGTTAGCGTTTTGCAAACACACACGTCCTGTATGCATATGTACTTCACAATACACTATGTTTTGTGGCAGTAATATTGTGTGGTAGAAGTGTAAATTGCAATCGAGCGTCAAAACGTGCGATCACTATCCTAACTACTTCGTGGTTTAAAGCTTTCCACCATTACAAAAGGTACACACGTTATTGCCTATGCCCCCATAACAGTATGTAGTGGGTGCATAGTAACCGCAGAGAAATTTTACGGGTGTAATTGCTCATGAATAAACCATGCTGCCTATTATATGGAATGCAGTTATGACACAAGACACTTTCAATTTTACTGATTTAATTAAAATTTAAAACTCATCCAGTAACATCATGCCATAAAAAGTATGCACTAAATGGTTAAAGTACGGACTAGGGACAGGATATTGCTACCGCATTCAACTCTTAAAAGCGAAGCTTAACGGTCCCCCAGTTTTTTTCGGTGCCTCTTATGTACACTCCTTGAAACTCGTAGTGATCAATGCATGTCTGTCTTGTCACAGAAATTAAGTTGGTAGTTGCACTCTATCTATCTGCAAATATCTATCTACAAATGTGATTTCAGCACATTGTTCAACTGTTCAATCAGAGAGTTTGCTTGTGTATGGCAAGCAGAAGAAAAATAATGTGTAGTAGTGCCACAGCACAGCTTTGCTGAGTACTCTGTAGAGTACGGGCTGCCCCTACATAACAAGATAGCTGAGTAGATGCACAATCGGCAGATTTACTGTGTCATGGAATAGAGGCAATAAGCATATTGAGGTTAGATTTTCTTTCCTTGCCCATTTACTTAGATGGGCAAGGAAAGAAGCGCATGTCATTCGAAGACGCAACCATGTTGAACATTGTTGTTACAACCACCCTGCCTCTTCTTCACATCACGCAGTGTTTCTTTTCTTTTATGGTTTTCAGACCGCCATTGTGCGCATATAATTTTGATTTGCTGTATTTCCTGATTTTCTGTACGATGTATACCCGCTCCTCTCTGTAATGCTTCGGCCTTGAGAGTAAATAAATGAAATGAAATGAAATGAAATATGGTTGCATGAAAAAAGAAATCTAACATGGTCAAAATTAGCCCATCTTTTGTGTACCTTATTATTATATCTTGGTTTTGGCTTGTGAAACCATAAGAACACTTTCTTGGCTATAAAGCTTTGCGAAACAGCTGTACATTGAAACTTAGAAGTGTGGCAGCTTGGGCTAGTTGGTATGCCATGACGATAGTTATAGCGCGAGAACAAAACAACCACACAGAGACAAGAAGGACACAAAAGACACGTGTCTTTCATGTCCTTCTTGTCTCTGTGTCGTCGTTTTGTTCTCGCGCTATAACTATCGTCATGTACATTGCAGGTTTAAGCACAATTAAGTATTTCAAAAAAACTGTGATACCATGCTGTTTTCAATAATCGGAGTTATGAACAAGAACTTTCTTTTGATTAAAATCATGAAGCCGGTGTAGCTGTCAAGAGCACGAGCAGCATGAAAAGACCCATTTCTCAAACTGCTAAGCTTTCTAAGTACCACACAGTCATATGCCTCTGTTTCCCCTCCCCTATAACAATTCCTAAATCTGTCCTTCGTAGACCGGCCCTTACTAAGACCAGTACTTGTATTTCTTTCAACCATTGCAGCTTCTACTGACAGAATGGTATTTTTTCGGTAGGTGATGAAACAGCATTTGCAAATACTGTGGTTTCATTGCAGACTGTTTCGATACCACTGGGCGGGTCCTCTTGACATCCTGATGGTTATTCCAGCCGGTCAGCACTGCCTGTTTCGTGTTATACGCATCCCACTGCCACAGTCAATAAATCAGCAGCTCACACAGCTTCAGCGTCAGCAGCTACAACAAGTGAGTGCATCTTTATGTGCTTCTTCGTTAAGTAGAGAGAGGCAGTCACAAAGAGAGTTTTTAAAAAGTACAGTGAGTGACTCGGATAATGTGGCTGCTAGGTTTACATTGTCAGCGAAAGAGCACAAAAATGAAAGAGTAGAACGCTATTTGTTGTTTTCGCTACCTCGTGAACTACCCCAACCTTCAATACTATCAGCTAAGGAGTTTTGTGGATAACAATATATTACTGTTTACTATAAATACAGACTTGGTCAAAAGAAAAGCGAGAAGATATAGCAAATTGATGATAATTATAGTGTTGCTTGTAGCTTATGATAAGATTCGCTGTCTGTCTGTCTGTCTGTCCATCCGTCTGTCTGTTTGTCAAGCCAGTTACGTTTGGATGCTCTCGTGATCACCCCCTTAACTTGGCGTGAACCACAATTAGCATGGGAGGCTAAGATGGTTTGACGAATATGACACACTGGTCAAGACATGACTGTTACAATCCCATCGTTTACATCGTCAAACACTTCTCGCCAGACAGTGGCACATACCCTCGAGCGGATATTTGCCACTGGTATATGGGTATGTGCCGCAGGTGATAGACACTTAGTATCTACCCAAGAATGACGAGAACACACATGGGCAATTTTAACACGCGAGCGTTATGAAATATCCGACATCAGTGGCGTTGACCTGATGAATGCAAAGAATAAATGTCAGGGTCCCAGCTGGAATTGAATCCAAGCATTCTGCATGGCAATGAAGCATTTTATCACAGAGCTACGCCAGGTCTCGGAACTACAGTCGAATCTCGATAATTCGAACTCAAAGGGGCCCAAAAATTCGTTCAAATAAAAGAAGTTCGAATTAATAAAAGCTAAATAAACGGAGGGCTCTCCATGCAGTGACGCATGTGCATTGAGCTAACACACAAGGGGGAAGTTTAGGAAAACTTACATTTATTCACAAATCACAGGACATCCCTTATTAATAGAAGTAATCGGTGATGTGCGTCTGCACACGTTTGCTTTGCAGCGAGTCAATCAATTTCGCACCCAGCTTGCAAAGCATCTCTACTTCCTCTTCAGCATTCTCCTGGCAAGAGAAGTTGCGTGTCGAAACGTCCAGCGCCGACACTTTCTTAAGACGATGAAAACAACCACTGCTGCTTAGCGGAGTCTCCCGCTCTCCGCTACGCAGCTGCAGCATGGCCAGCATGTGACGAGAAAGAAGGAGTGTCTTCACGTGGAGAGAAGCAGATCGGTATTTGAGAGAAAACCAACACTCCACGCAGCCTTTTTTTTTTTTTGCTCTCTTTGCTTGTATTGTTGAAAGGAGAACGGTTACGTGACAGGGAAGAAAAGGGGAAGCAAGGCACCCCCCCCCCCCACAGGCGTAGAGCCGTGCTCCCGCAAGGGGCAAGGGCTGCAGAAGATAGTGCCTTTTTCCTTTTCTTCAACTACAGATTCATTCAACCAGCGACGGCTTTTTTTCCCTCTCTCTCTCTTCACACGAAGCGTTGGAAGGAGGAGGGTCTTTACGTGGCAGGGATGGAAAAGGGAGAAGCGTGACACGTCGCATATCGGCAGTTGAGAGAGAGCAAACATTCCACCGCAGCCTTTTCTTTCCTTTTCATTTCATTCGCGCGCAGCGTTGAGGTGTTGCAGGTGCCGCCGTGGGATTAGGCGGGGTGCTGATAACATTTTCGACGCGCAGTATGTTCAAATTAACCATCGCAAGTGCTTGGGCGTTTGATTTACTGGGTGTTTTTGCTCATTGGAATGCGAATAGCTTTGACAGGACCTTATTGTGAGTTCGAATTAACTGGAAGTTCGAATTGGGCATGTTTGAATTATTAAGATTCGACTGTACTCTTTAAATAGAGGCTAATCTTCATGAAACATCAATAGTGGTTGCAGTGCTGTCTGCCCCATTTTATAAACATTACATATGTACTCCTTTGATACAGCTGTCACGTCGAATAACGTCAATTGTGGTTAGTTGCCATCTGCTGAAGTTGATTTATATAGCAGTGTCCAAGACCAGCATCTTCACGAGCATGATCACTTCATATCAGCTTTTGGTGTTGCTAATACGCATGTTTCAGTTGGCATCATTGCACAAGTGCAAACAACTGGTTTTATAAACATCTACAACTCTTCAACATATGTCTGTGCATGAAATATTTAAACATATAATTAGTGTCATTTCATGACGTGTCGCTCAATAAAAAAATTACAACATGGTAACTTTTCGTCCGCATGCTTCGCATAATTTTCGTAACAAATAGAAAAAACTGTGCACGCATAACGGGAGCTATGTATGAAAGGCCACGGTAGCGATAAAATGACACAGGTTCCGTTCTTCTCTCTTCTTTGTTCGCAACTGCGCTGAAGAATAATTTAGACGTTTTCAGACAAGCTCTCAGTGCTTGCAAATCAAGTTTTTAATACATTTTAAGTCTCGATGCCATAATTACACTCGTCCAGTCTTCATTTAGTGCCATTCATTTCCTCTTTTTTGCATTCAGTTTGATGACATCATTGCATAATATTTAGAACATGCAATATATTCTGTGTCCATTTTATATGTCAATTATTATTATATTCAACTCCTGCGTTCTTTGACTGTATTGTCGATATTCATATTCTCTTGTTATGCTTGTAAGTTTTTGCTTTTAACTATGTTTTCTTTCAATATTTAATTTTTGTGTGTGAAAACTCATATTACTTCCCAACTGACACGCTCTCAAAAACAAAGTAGCAGTATTGTAAATTAATAAATTAATAAATAACGTAAATAAATTTCCACGTACGTGGATCTCCCAAATTTTTTTTTATATCTACCACTTACCACTGGTAAAGGGCATCTCGGAGGAACTACTATCGTGTTTTCTGCATTAGCAGCAAGATGGCTCAATGAGCGCGCATCCCCAGATCATCACGACGCGGTGACGCGCACTCTCATCTCTCACACGCACTTTGCCCCGTAGAGATAAGACACCCGTGGGTACACTCGCTTATCTTGCAGTAAGGACAACTGTACACTTTGGGCTTTCACCAGAGCGATTCTGTAGTAGTTACCAGGCGCAGAATGGTCACTGCGCTCGTTGCACATCTCCGTTCACAAAAAGGGTGCTCTTTTCAGACACAGTGAAGTAACAACTGAGACACTTATTTGCATTTATCTGTACCTGTGTATATGTTTTATGTGTCATTTGTGCATGAGAAATGCGGGGCACGTTTCGATCTGCTTGCAATTCTTTGCATGATTTTCCAATTTGCTGCTATCGCGTTCATTGCTTCGCCATTGTAGCAAAGCTGCGACTTTTTTTGCCCTATAGTATCTCACCAAGTATGAATATCTCAGTAATAAATGTGTGCAAGCCCTTATGTTTCTAAATACTATAAAAAAACATCGCTTTGGTATGGATTGAGATGCAGTTTACACCACGAAATGCTTCATTGAATACCCAGCTTTATACTGCAGTATGAAGCAAATAACTAGGTCTTATTCGCCAAGTTTTATGATTTCAGTTTTTATTTTGGAGAAGAAAATTTCTGAAATTTTTCAATGCCGAACTACCCTGTGACAAAAAATTATTTTTTTTTGTTGGTAAAATATTGTCACGGGTTCATGACGTGGCCGAAGACAGGAGACCTTATGTTGGGATTTAACTGTTTATTTGGGCGAACCTGTGCCCGGTAAACGGAAAGTCCAGTTATAGCAGCAGTCTCGCACAGATAGCAGTCTTGGACTGATAGCGGCGAACGGAGCGTCGGCCTTCGATCAAAAACTGACAAGCGGTGAAGCGCTTAAGCATTTATAGTCTTGCCGTCGAATGTTCTAGCGTTATCGCTGGCGGTGGCGTAGGTTCCTGAACAATCTGTACCGTTCGCACAGTGTGCGTGATCTTATTGAAATGATCTACTGCAGTCCGGAACCTTCTCGAAAACAGCAGGCGCGGTTTGCGCTGAGAATCGTGTGGTGTTTTGGGACGATAACAAAAACTTGGGAAATGGAACGTGGCATTGCCCCCTCTGAAAAAAAGCCTCGTCCCGATGCTTTAACTAAAGATGAAGGTACAATAATAATGCAAGAAAGTACAATGAATAAATTACGATACAACAATAATACAAAAAAAACACTGTTTCAGTTTGTTAACGCGCATGGAACGGCTTGAGGCGCGCGACATGGACGACTTCAGGTCGCGATCGGCGTCGTTGAGAGTTCGTGATGCCGTCGGGGACAACCTCGTAATCAAGTGGGCCGAGACGTCGAACCACCCTGTACGGTCCGAAGTACCGTCGCAGAAGCTTTTCACTTCGTCCACGTTGGCGTATCGGCGTCGACACCCAAACACGTTCACCGGGCTGGTATTCCACGAAGCGTCGTCGAAGGTTGTAACGGTGGCTGTCGGTCGTTTGTTGAGACGCGCAAGTTGTCAAGCTTCTTCCGCGCGTTGAAGGTATTCACTCACATCGAGGTTTTCTTCGTCGGTGACGTTGGGTAACATGGCATCGAGCGTCGTTGCCGGGCTCCTTCCGTAGACCAATTTGTATAGAGATATTTGCGTCATCTCCTGCACCGCGGTGTTGTATGCGAAGGTCACGTATGGAAGAATGGCGTCCCACGTCTTGTGTTCGACATCGCCGTACATTGCCGGCATGTCGGCGATCCTCTTGTTAAGCCGCTCGGTGAGGCCGTTGGTCTGTGGGTGGTACGCTGTCGTCCGGCGGTGGTTTGTTTGGCTGTATGCCAAGATCGCTTGAGTTAAGTCGGCAGTAAATGCCGTTCCTCTGTCGGTGATAAGGACCTCTGGGGCGCCGTGATGTAGGACGATATTTTCGACGAAGAACTTAGCTACCTCAGATGCACTGCCTTTGGGAAGGGCTTTTGTCTCGGCGTAGCGGGTGAGGTAGTTGGTAGCTACCACGATCCACTTGTTTCCGAAAGTCGACGTCGGGAACGGCCCCAGTAGGTCCATATCAATCTGCTGGAAAGGTCGGCAA